GCTGTCTGGCGCTTCCACTTGGTCCTGAGAGATGGAGAGAGAGAAGGAAGGAAGAAAGGAAGGAAGGAAGGAGAGGGGAAGACCAGTGGTATCACTTGGGTTGATGTCATCCAGTGCAGGAACTCATGATGCCACCCCTCCCATTGACCTTCTCCCATGCCACACCATACAGAATCTTTAGACATGTTTTTTGTTACTCGTTAACTGTAATTCCTGAATGTCACAGTAATAGTTGTGACATAAACAACTAGGAAAGTTAAAATTATACCTTCATATTACAATATCATACGCCACACGACCCCAATGCATTTACATATACATAGTTTCATGTGGTTGAAGTGAAAAATTGGGCAAAAAGACGATATTTTAAAAGAAAATTTAAAAGAAATTTTAAAAAGTAAATTAAAACTATTTTTTAAAAAATTTAAATTTAATTAAAAAAACAAACCCCGGACCTCTCCTTTCTCCTTCCGGTGAGCCTCTCCCCACTCATACCATCTCTTCGTCATTTTAATGGGATGCAGGCAAATGCCACAGCTCATTTCTGACAAAATGGAGATATTTGGGGAGCAATGGTTTCAGCCCCTCTTTGGGTCTCACCTGGTGCAGTCCGCACCCCCCTTGTGACACCACTGGGGAGACCCATCAGGAGGACACAGAGGTCTGAGGGAGGGAAGCCCCCCACCCAGGGAGCCTGGGATCGATCACCTTGTAGGGGTCCCTGGCCACTGCAGGTGGGAACAGGATCCACTTGCCTCCTGTTCCTCCCCCCTCCACTCCTCAAGACTGGGCTTGACCAAGAGTTGGTCTTGATAGAAGGTTGGATTTGATGGCCCCCGAGGTCTCTTCCAACCCTAGGAGTCTATGAGAGGAGTTGAAAGTCCAAGTGCCAGTTAGCAGGGGGCCCACGGACACCAGCAGCACAGGTCCTGCTACAGGGGTGGTGGTGGTTGTGTCGTTGTGTGCCTTCAAGTCATTTTTGACTGATGGCAACCCTAAGCCACCCTCCCGCCATCCCCCTTTCTAGAGTCAAACCATTCCAGGTCACTCATTCATTCCTTGTATATAAAATCATGGGATTCTCTGCAAGTTTCTTCAGAGGGGCTTTGCCATCGTTGCTTTCCTTTGAGGCTGAGAGACTGTGACTTGCCCAGTTTGTCACTGGGTTTTCATGGCCGAGCCAAGATTTGAACCCTGATCTCCAGAGTTGTAGTCCAGTGCTCAAACCACTACACCACACTGGCTATCCCAAATACCAGAACTGGAAAAAACTGCATCCTCCAAAGATGGCAGGGGGGAGATTTGGGGCAGAGGAGAGGACGGCTTGGGTTTTGGCACACACAGAGTGAAATTGGGGAACTCACTGTCACGGGATTTAATGATGGCTGCCAATTTGGAGGTCTTTAAAAGAGATGAGATGAACCAATGAAGAATTTAGGCCATGAAGAGCTCTTGATCCAGATGACTGTAGCCTAGTGGTTCCCAACCTTTGATACTCCAGGTGTTTTGGACTTCAGCTCCCAGAATTCCTTACTGCTGGTCAAGCTTGCTAGGGCTTCTGGGAGCTGAAGTCCAAACCCCCTGGGAAGCCAAGGTGGCCCATCTCCAGTACCAGAGGAGTGTGTGGTGCCATTGTCCCTGTGTCCTCCTGGGGTGGGCTCCCTATGAGGACAACTGAGTGGGTGGCCACCAGACAAGGGCCAGAGAGGTCATCCATCTGACCCAGCAAGACTCCTCTTGGGTTCTCTGTGATTGACTCAAGTATTTGTAACTTTCCCTGCAGCCCAAGCAGGTAATGTGGGCACTGCCCCTGGTGCCAAACTGAGTTTGGTAACTTGCTACTTTATTGTATTTAGCTATTAAATTAAATAACCTCCTACCTTTCTCTCAAATGGGACCTGCAGTAGCTCACAACATGAATTAAAACAAAGTATGGCAGTGTAGTGTAGTAGTTTGAGCTTTGGACCAGGGCTCTGGAGACCAGGGTTCGAATCCCTGCTTGGCCATGGAAACCCACTGGGTGAACTTGAGCAAGTCACACTCTCTTGGCCTCAGAGGATGACAATGGCCAACCCCCTCTGAAGAAACCTTCCAAGACAACCCCATGATAGGTTTGCCTTAGGGTCACCATAAGTTGGAAACAACCTGAAGGCACACAACAGCAAACACAAATTAAAACCTAAAAATGAGTTTAAAAACATAATCTTAAAACTTAGACAGGCTCATATTTGTTGAGTGTCTCTTCCATAGGGATGAATTCAGAGAGATTGCCATGTTAGTCTGGAATATCAGTATGCAGAGGGGTCTTGCAGCACCTTTGAGACTTAGGGCCTTTGCAGACTGCCAGAAATAGTGCAAATTGAATCCACTTTAACTGCCCTGACTCAGTGCTAAGGAATTATGGGAACTGTAGTTTATTGTGGTACCAGAGCTCTCTGTCAGAGAAGGCTCAATATATCAGAAAAAAATACAGTTCCCATGATTCCCTAGCACTGAGCCAGGGCAGTTAAAGTGGCCTCAATTTGCACTATTTCTAGCAGTCTGCAAAGGCCCTAACAGTGTGGAAGAAGTTGTAGCATGAGCTTTTGTAGACATGGTCTACTTCCTCAGTGCCTCAGGGGAGTTAGACACATAGTGGCACAATCAGTAATTTTTAGAGGGAGCTTGCCTTTGCTTTCCTTTGAGGCTGAGAGAGTGTGACTTGCTCAAGGTCACCCAGTGGATTTCCAGGGTTGAGTGAAGGTTCGAACCCCAGTCTCCGGAACCTGAAAATGATTCCCATTGACCTCGGTGGAAATTATGCCTGAGGAGACCCATTCAAATACTTGCTGAAATGGAATCCAGACTTCACCTGGAAGAGGTTCCCTCTCCCTTGGAGTCCAGATTGTTTGGACCCTACCTACACCAGGGAGTGTCCCTCAGTTAGCCTGAAAGCTCATTGCTCTTTGTTCAGTGTCTAGTTAGAGGGCATTCATTCATTTCTTGTACATCAAGTCAGTGGGAGATGGCTTCATTTAGAGGGAACAGATTACCAAAGCAATGTGAACACTAAAAATACCGCTGAAAGCTGAAAGCTGGTGGTTCTCCACCTTCAGGGCTGATGTCTTGGGCTTCATCTCCCAGAATCCCTGGCATAGGCCCTCTTGGCTGGGGATTCTGGGAGCAGAAGTACAAAAGAAGAATATATATAATTTAAAATACCTACAATCTTATGGGATGTGTGTTTGTGTCAAGGTTCCTTGCCTGGGATGCTGATATTTAGGGGAATTTCCAGATATGCAAAATGTTGGAATCTAAGGTCCATAGGGCAAAAATATGCATAAAATGTGGATACGTTAATATTGTGGTTGTATGTCTTCAAGTAATTTCTGGCTTATGGCAACCCTATCATAGGGTTTTCTTGGCAGAATTTGTTCAGAGGGGGGTTGCCTTTCCCTTCCTCTGAGGCCAAGATAGTGTGACTTGTCCAAGTTTGCCCATTGCGTTTCCATGGCTGAGTAGAGATTCAAACCCTGATCTCCAGAGCCCTAGTCCGGTGCTCAAACTGCTACCAGTTCTATATATGTTAATATATCCCTATACATTATGTATAGTAGGTATAGATCCAGGAGCAATGGGTAGGCTCTAGACATGGTTGGACTGCAACTCCCATTGCCTCTTAATGCTAGCTGTGATGCTAGGGCTGGTAGGAATTGCATCCCAACAGCTTCTCTCTCACACCTGAGCCAAAGTCCTCCTTAGTAGGACCCCATTGAAGAGACCAACTCCAATTGACTACAGAGAAAGATTTCTGTTCAAAGGAACATGAGTTTCCCATTGGTTACAATTCTTTAGATGCACAGGCAAGTGAAGCTCAGGGCTATATGTGCTCAGCAGAAATATAGCAGGTTTAAGTGCAAATTTAAAACCATGTGTAGGGAGAACTGCAAGGCATAAAAGAGACCTAGCACAATCTGAGACTGCAAAAACATAGAATCTAAGAGTTGGAAAGGGCCTCATGGGCTTCTGCGCAATACAGGATCTCCAGCTAGAGCAGGGGTAGGCAACCTAAGGCCCGGGGCCGGATGCATTCCCCCAAGGCCTTTGGCCCAGCCCCAGGCCGGTCCTGCCGCCACCGCTGCCCCCCGCCATGATGATATTGATTATTGTT